ACACACAATATATATATATATATCCATCTATATCTATATTTTTTTCTTTCTCGATGTATATATATATATATATATATATAATGATATGTATATGTATATTTATTGCTAGAGGTAGCGAATTCTTTCAGAGAGATTATTATGTTTTGTTGTAAATTGATGAATTGTTTTTTGACGAGTACACGTGTAAATACAATTTATGTGCTGTAAGATCCACCTGTTGAATAATTCTATTCATAATTTTTCGGAAATTTCTACGAAGTTTATTTTCGTTGAAAGAACATTGTAAGGCAGTGACTTAAGCACTAAAATATATGCATAACATCTCCATCTTGATAAAAACGAAACCTTGTAATTCTTACAGTAAACCCTCGACAGTTCATTGAAATTATATCCCGAATCGAATTTATTTCTCGCTACATTCGTACAATATTCTTTTGATGAATCGTGACTGGCTATAATTATTAATACATATGTTTGCTACAACTTTCCCCTATGCAATTTGGTCGATATAATTTACCGTTTCATTCAAATAATTATTGTGAAAATATTGTTGAAATTCAAAATTGTGTTCCTATCAAATCGTTACTATCAGATGATCGGCAAATTTCATTTGAATTGCTGTGTTTTATCTTTATTTTGGTAATTTCGATTAATTCAGTCGCTTGGAACGATATCAAAAATGTTTAATAATAGAAATCAAAGTACTTCAAATTGGATGAAAATCGGCTTCTGCCAAGTAGCGATGTTCCGTACATAAATACGTGAATAACAAAAAAAAAAAGTATCGCGCGCAAGAAATACTCTATATAAGAAAAGTACTTATTCGAGTTACGTAATTCAAAAACTAGACGAAAGCGGTGCATACGGAAATTTGCCTTACAAAATTGTTCTTCAAAAATATATAAAGAGATAAGTTCAGGTGTAAGGATCATAAGACTGATAATAAATTTGCTTGTTCTATTCTATTGTTCGAGTAAACTTGACTTGAATTCAATTTCATAGAAGTATCTGTAGACATTCGCAGTTCACTACTCTTTATTTGAAAATTCATAATGTAATTTAAAAATAAAAAAAAAAAAACAATACACCTGAACCTTTGTAAAAGTTATAAAGTTTTATTCATTATCTTATTTCTAGTACTTTCTTGCTTTTTGTTCCCAAAATATCAAAAGTTATAATCCATATAATCCTTGGGATTTTATAATCCATAAAACAAAATTTTCTTTTAAACGATAGAATAATAACATTTCCCTCAATATTATTGTCCAGAAAATCAAATAAATATATAATGCCTATTGATACAAAGTTGTTATTGCCTAAAAGTGTAACTAAGAGTGTTTTCGAAATTTAAATCATTGCTTCATTGATCTGTATACTAATAATTAGGCAAACTGTTTTGTATATCAAAATGTTTTGTTTTAATACCATAAAAATTTTGTGATTTGAAACGAAACTAATCTGAATAATTTATGAAGTATTGTTCAGCACTATCATACAAGACTAACAATAACCACTTAATACTAATTTGTGTTACAATACTTTAATGACTGCATGTTTCGCATGCATATTTCAGATATGGCTTAAGGAAAGTACCCACTAAATTACATATATATTCATAAGAAAATACTATATGCATATCCTGAAAGATTTCCTCAATGAAACTTATAGTAATTGTTGATAATGATTTCTAATCAGGCATATTATATAACAGAAGATTAGTCACAGCAAACCTATAAACTCAATCTGAATCTTTGTTATCTTCAGCCTTCATAAATTGTTTTTATAAATTCTCTGAATTACTTCTCAATAGTTTGTTCTTTTACGAATGTTGATGCCAATTCTGTCTCAAGTATTTCAAGATATAACATATGTTCTCTACATCAATCTGGATTAGGTTAGGAATTCTTGAATAAGAAAATTTAGTAACTAATCTTCATTTTCAATGAAAATTTGATAATTTTTAAATTCAATGCGTGAAATTACGGAGAAAAACAATTAAATACTTCACCAGTCCAATTTTAAAGAAGAGCATGACAATTATTTTTTGACAAGAAACATATTGGCTAAATATTCTCAACATTCATTAAAGCTTTGTAATATTACTACCATTTAAAATTCGTTTTCATCTAATCTAATCATCATCCTTTAATTCAATTCCACTGTAATCATAGTACGTTTGACATTTCACAAATAGGTTATGTCTCCCGACGATCTAAACACACTCTTTACTAACATACTTCCCAATGCTTTCCTTTGGTCCCCAAAATTCTATAACATCACTTACTGTTTCTCCTTTCGTACATGAATAATTTAAAATTCTGTTCTACCACGGTGCCAATAAAACGCTTGACATTTCGCAAGTATCAGGTTATGTTTTCCAAAGCAACCAATTCTCTTTGTGTACTTCATGCTCGAGTTCGATGTTCGATATATTGACCTCGAGTTAAGCAAGCTCAATCGTCATTGGCGCCCGTTGTTACTCATTCGCGTATACGTTTTCGCTGATACGCGGCTATATAAAAGACGGCCAAACAAAATTCAAAAGTAAACCACAAGTGAACGCGACACGATAGTACACGCGACGAGACACATTTCTCGTATCGTGTAAAAAGCATTTACCTTCGGAGTGGAACGATCGTGGACACGAACCCAACCATGATTTGGCGATTTGCGATCCTCGTCGCTCTTTCGATCTTGACAGTCGAGGCGAAAAAGTACTCGCAAAAATGGGAGGAACAAGAACAATGGCAAGAGTTCGAGGAGTTTCTGAAGTGGAAAAAAATGCGAGAACTTCGCGAATATCAACCGCAGGAAATGAAATACGAGAAACAACGCTATGAAATTCGCGACATGGAGAAAATTTCCGAAAGGGACCAACAACCTCCCGTCGTTCCACCACCCGTCGATCGGGCTGCTCTAATGGCAAGATTCATTGTCAACCAGGCTGGTAAGAAAAATACAATCGCTTAAATGGTAAACGCTGCTTATAATTGAAACTATGGTTGATACTTTATTTCTGGTTATTGTACGCTCGAACAGTTTGGACTGTTTATAGTCACAGTTGGAATGACATTGGAATGTTCTTATACGGAGAATAATAAAATTTGTTTAGGATGAGCTAATGAAAAGAGCGTGTATGAATTGTGTGACCGCAGATACATATAACACAAATAAACGTTTCCACTGATGCTTACAATTGTGTATGCATGTGTATATACTTGATACACTTTACACTCGTATGAAATTAATATTAGGTTCGTGTGCACAACTTTGGCGCAACTCCAAAATTTTCAATTTAAAGCGCAATGTGCGTCATTGTATTTGATGGTTTCTGTCGTTTTTTTCTTCAATTTAGTTAGCATGTATACCATTATCGCAGTCAAAACACCGGAATCAGGTCTAATGGTTGATTACCATCTAATCATGCACGTTATTCTAATACAATCCAATGTGAATTATGGTTATCATCGCGAAATAAAATGAAAATTTAATCATTCGACATCTAATTCTAAAGATGACCTGAATTAGCTTGATAGATTAGAGAAAAAATTAATCTCTCGTTACGAAATTATCGGTTAATTCTAATAATAGTAACAATTGATGTAATGATCTTTTGAACGTTTAAATAATCCAAGACTCTGAAAATGTATTCAGTTTAACGTTAATTATATGTATTTACAATTATACAGGGTGTCCCAAAACTCGAGGAGGAGCCGGAAATGGGGGGTAGCTGAGACGATTCTGAACAACAATTTCCTTTGCAAAAATGTCGGATGGGGCTTTGTTAAGGAGATATTAAGCGAAAACCCCGACCAATCAGAGCGCGCGTAGACCGTTGGAGCGGCCGCGGTAGCGAAGGCTACGCGCTAGGCAGCCGCGCCCAATGTCCTTCGATGCACGTCGAGTCACTTGTTCGCGTGCAAGCGCGGCCACCAGCGCGTAGCCTACGCTACCGCGGCCGCTCCAACGGTCTACGCGCGCTCTGATTGGTCGGGGTTTTCGCTTAATATCTCCTTAACGAAGCCCCATCCGACATTTTTGCAAAGGAAATTGTTGTTCAGAATCGTCTCAGCTACACCCCATTTCCGGCTCCTCCTCGAGTTTTGGGACACCCTGTATTTCTAGATTTTTCTTTGGATTTCTAAGTAATCTATTTGAATACTTTTAACATTAGAGGATGCGAATTTCTCTTATAAGTCATTTATTTATCGACTTTCATTTTTGAATTTCTGCATTTTCACAAAAGTTACGAATGTATTTGTCCCATAAAATAAATTTATAATTCTCTTTTTAATATTATATTTAACAATACTTTTATATTTCGATACTTTTCCTCGCACGACCATTCGTATTCTAAACTGCTACCGATGTTTTTCTATAATCAGACTGGGTGTCCGTGGCGACCATAAGCACGCGGAAGGATATTGAGTCGTATCCAACAGTAAATTTAATTTCCTACAGTGATGGACTCTTAGGAAATGGATCAGGTGTTCCGTATCTTTATCTTACTCCTTTGGATTACACAGCTCAAGATCTCGCTGTGAGTACTACCATACTCGTATATTTATTCAATAATGCATTCCTAAGTATTCGATGTTTAATTTTACCTTTCTCTGATAAGATAGCGAGCAGTTTTACGGACCGAACGACTTATTGTCTCGATCGATATCATCAAAACTTACGTATCTTAAAAATAATTAGAGTGCGAATAATGAAATTATTCTCTGATACAATAATATACTTGATTCTATCTTTACGTGCAGTTTTGAAAATCACGTACATTCGATAACAATTTTTCTAATCGTAGAGAGATAATCGCGTCACGTTGTTGATGACATTGGCTCAAGGAGAATATTGCAAATCGAAACAATGGGACCCAATGGACCCTCGCTGTGCCAGAGTACTTTTATCCGGGAAAATGAAACCGGTTAGTAGATAAAAATGATTCACGTTCATGAAGATATGAAATTATCAATTATGTATTTTTCTAGCTGAAGAACGAGAGTGCGGAACTTGACTTAGCCAAAAAAGTTTTCTTCGATCGTCATCCGAAATTAGCTAATATGCCACCAGGTAAAATTTCGTCTGTTACTTAATGTCAATCGATAAGAAAAACCACTATTATCAATTTTAACAAATGATGTATTTTGTATTGTTACAGATCACCATTTCTATTTCGCCAAATTGAAAATATCGACGATCGCGGTGCTAGATACTTTCGGTGGACCGAAGTATGTCACTGTTAGAGATTACTTGCATCCACCGGTTGATAACGTTACTGCAGAATTCATTCGACTATTCCCCGTGGAATTCGACGAGAACGATTCTCGGCAAAAATATGCACCAGTCTCTAATATGTTGAATCCCGTAGTCCGCACTGTATAAAATGTGATGAAATCGTTTATCGAAAAACTCTCGAAAGTACAACCCGAAATAATTAAGCGTGTTTACGATTTTATACGTTTTTGAATTGTCTGTAAAATCGAAAATTTGTACTACTACACATGTTAATTAAACGATGATTTAATTAATAAACTTATAAATTAAATTACACTGATTAAACCACTCAATTTTTACCTCTGACTAAGGGATCTAAATAGTTAACTATAATATTATCAATTTTAATGTGTATCTACAATTAATTACGTTACGTAATTCTGAAATCTGCAAAACAATCGCCAGTGTTCCAAATATATAGCTATTTGTTTTAAACATTACGTTTATAGCAATTTTTTGCAAAAATCTATCTTAAACTTTAGATATGATTTCAGAAAGCATTACGAAGTTTGTTGTATTTAATGAAATTTAATATTTTAGATATGTACAGTTCCATAATACAAAAATTGCACGTTTTTAAAATACATTAGAAAGGATTAAAATATTGTTGAATTTCAAGAATACGATACAGCGTAAATTACAGTAGTTTATGTAATTTCGGTAAAGCATTCGAACTATTTTGTATGATATTTGCATCGTTTATGTACATTCTATATATTTTACATAAAAATGTGAAACCTTTATTATATATTAATATTTATTGTAAAAGCAAATACTCTGTTAAAAAAATTTATAATTTGATTACAAGTTAAAAATAACATTAATGTACAGTACCTAGTTACAAAAATCTGATACCTCATTTTGGCTATGTTTTCTTTGCAGAGGTCTGTGCATTTTTCCCATGAATCAGACTGGATGAACTCAATATAACAGAAATTTGTTCTGGTAATGGACAAGCAATTAACAGCAGTTCCTCTGCATTGTAATATTTGTTTAATATCTGATATAATTGTGTAAACGCTGCACACACGTTATTTTTTACTGGTCTAAATAAAATAAACTCTGTTTCTTTATTGGATAGATACAATTGCATCAGCTGTTGGACCTCAGGGCATTTAAATTTTATTATCCGTAAAACTTCGCTAATTACTGCTGCAACATCTTGTGGACTCCCAAGAACATGTGTTTGGGGTTTATCTGGAGTGTTGGTATTTACATGTAACTTTTCTTTTTCCAGTAATTTCAAAACTGGATGAACCAACAAAAATGTTGCATGCTGTATAAGACGTTGGCAAGTATATTTCAACTTGTTGTCCACTTGCTTCCTTGAATCTATTAACTGTTCTTTCATTTGTGGTGCACCTTCTAATAAAAATTCTAACAAAGCGTTATTTGACAGAGTAAAAATTCGTGAACTTTTTTCTAATAAACCAAATGCTGCTGTCTTAACTTTAGAAAAGTCTAAACTGTATTCTTTTATAGTGAAGTCCACTTGAAAAGGTGCAATCTGCTCACGCAAAATTAACAAATGTTTTATCTGGAAAAGTTCTGCATCTAAAGATGTTGCCCTCTTTTCAATTTCTTGCTTTGCATTCTCTATACTTTGGACGCAAAGAGATATTGCTTCTTGACTCAAGGACTGAAAGACAGATTTGTCTACACATCTATACAATCTTGACAAACAAACTAATGTTCTACGGACAGTAGGATACCACATTCCATGAAGGTCTGCTGGTGAGTTGCCCATATGTGTTTTTTGATAAATAGAATCCATTATAATATGATTTCGGGAAATCATCGGCTCAGAAATATTATCATCCATAGATGATATGGATAGTTTCTTCATATTTGTTTGACGAGTCTCTTCTCGTATCGATTCTGCTATGTCTTCCATCATTTTTAATTTCTCTGGGTATGCTAAATCACCTGGAGATGGATTATAATTTAAAACATCTGACTGCAAATAAAGATGCGCACGAAACACGAGCCTCTCCTGTACATCGTGCAATAATTGCAAACAAATGTTTCCAAACCCTTCCAAGGGTTCAAAATTATTTTGAACATGCTCATCCAGCATTTCAATTCTCAAAATACAACAAATCTCAGCTAATGTTTCTAAATGATTAATATGAATAATGAATGGTCTGAGTGTATCATACAAAGAAGTACACAGACTTTCAAGATATGCTGTTAATCCACTGGATGGCTTGGAGAAAAATTCATAAAATAATTTATATTCATCCATTGATGCATGTAATAATAATGCACATGAATTTCGTACCAAACTACAATGATCACCATTATATTTCTCTTTTACAGATGTTAGAGATTTCTGTACACTGCTGCCTAATACCAATCCTCTTTGACTCCAATAATATTGATGGCACTCTGACAATAAACTATCATATTCTTGTCGTTTGTAAGATTTTATTTCTATTTGTTCTATAACTGGTCTAACTTTTGACAAAATAGTTTGAAATCTTCCATAAAAGAGTGCCAAAGCTGCATCTGCATTATCTTGGGAATTATCATTATCTCTTAAATTTAAAATACTTTCTGTAGTTTTACTAAATAAATTAAACACATAATTTTGTATCATAGATATTGCCTTAGACTGACAATGTTTATATTTAATTAAGTACGTATTGCTTTCCTTAAATGAAGGATTGCTCTGCACAAAATCTATATTTGTATCAATTTTATCCAATATATTAAAGAACATTTCACTGTTCACTGATAGTGTGGGTGCCTCTAATTTCTCCATTGTCAAATCAATATCTTTGAAATACTTTATGTATTCGGTAATGTTCTCTATAGTAGAATTTAATTTTCGTTGATCAGAGTCAAGCTGTTCACTAGCATTGTAGAGAGATGTAGTTTTATCAGAAACTTCTGAATATTGTTTGTACAGCATCGTGAAGTCCTCTAATGCTTCTTCTATTTGGAGACAAAGTTCATGACATTCCAGTCGTCTAGCCTCAAGTTCATTGAGGTACATAATGTATTTTATATCTTTTCGGTCCATACACTTTTTTTCTAATGCAGCATAATGTTCTAACAGATCTTGGTACCGTTCAATTTGTACTGATTTCTCATTATCTTTTATATGAACGGTATCGTTTTGTTTATCAGTCGCAAGAATACTGTCGGAAAATAATTCCTCTTCTAAGCTTAATAAACAATCTTTTTGACGATCGGTCAGCGGTGCAAGTGGATCTTCTGACAGATCCCACTTGGTTAAGTTATTCGGAATGTTTACCATTATGAATATGGTTTCTTGTCAGTAGAAATAAATGTTACGACATGAATACTTTTGAGAAAAGTAGTAGAATCGTGGATATTACAAACATACCGCTTCGTAATATAAGGTAAAAAATTCACTTCAAAAACTGACACCGCAGCAGTTACGAATCATAACCATGAAGTTGAAACAGATTCTTTACTACGATACAGTATGTCCTCCGACAAACATGAAATTGGACACACTAGGGAGATTCCGTTGTAAATTACATGGTTTTATTTACAAAATTTCTTTCTTGCTGAATGAGTGTAAATATCTTTTTGTTTAAAAACTTTTTACATAGAATAAAAATAATATTACGACAAGTTTTTTCAAACAGTAATTTTCATAGAATTCATGACTGACCCAAAGGTTTATGGAATACTCGTTCTTTCCCATTTCTACATTAATTTGCTATATTTTAAATAAATTTATTATACTTTTCTTAATATTTGTTTGATTTTTAATTTTTGTCGCGTTCTTTGTAAATCAGATATGTGAGTTGTATAATAGCGCACGCGCATAAAACTCGATCGGAAAATTTCTGTTGGAAACGAGATCGTATTTCCTTCTATGAATGTGTTTGAATCGTGAAGGTTTGTGTCATATTGAATCGTCAAATATTCTTACAATCCTAGTTAAAACATAATATTTCTGTAGTTATGTATACTCGTATAAAACATTGCAATGTAAAACGCGTAATATTATCGTGCGGTATTTGTTTTACATTGTTGTGTTTAGTGACCTAACCTGTGAAAGTCACCGTGTTATTTTTGCAGAATGGCTCCAAGGTACGAATTAGCGGTAGGCCTTAATAAAGGCCACAAAACCACCAAAATCCGTGTGGCAAAAAATAAAAATGAGAAGAAGAAGACTGTGTGCGTTTTGCCAGCTAGATTGAAGGGGGTGAGTACTAATTGTTGTTAAACAGACTACAGTATTGGTACTTAGTCGTGTTCTACATCCAACATTTATATGTTTAAATGCATTAAATATCTATATCATAATAGGCTTGAGTTACAAATCTTACCTACTTGAAATATCTGAGACTTCATAAAGTTAAGACAAATATAAGTTACATGGTACATTATGATCGAAAACTTCTCAAAATTGGCAATTGATTATTATGTCTAATTAGAAATAATTAATAGTGTAACACCAGTTAATATTTACTACTTGTAATTTTATACTTTTAGAGGCAAACTAAACACAGTAAGTTTGTCAGAGACTTGATCCGTGAAGTAACTGGTCATGCACCATATGAAAAACGTGCTATGGAATTGTTGAAAGTTTCCAAGGATAAACGTGCTCTGAAATTCTTGAAGAGGAGGGTAAGCATGAAAACAAGTATTTTATTTTGATAGTAAAATTAAATATGTAACATCATAAATAATTTTATAGCTGGGCACGCACATTAGAGCTAAAAGGAAACGTGAAGAACTTGGAAACATCCTTGTACAAATGAGGAAAGCAGCTGCCCACCATTAAGTAACACATTAAATTTTTGTAATATAACATATTAATAAAGTATGTTCAAAAAAGGTGCTATTCATTATTTCTTTCAAAAATTATCATCACTACCAGACCCTCTCTAATATAAGTGCTAGAAAATCTAAACTATTAAGAACAAAAAGATTGAAAATAAATAGGATACTAAATGATCTAATATAAATAGAGAATTATATTATAGCAATATCTATCTTCAAATATTGTTTATGAATCATTGCTACTGAAGTAGACATTTTTATACAGATACACATAAGACATTAATTTTTATTGAAATGGGGAAAGTATGAATGTTATAAAAATTCAATAATATATTATTTGTATTTGATGCTTAGTACTTGATGACAATAAATTTCGTAATACATAACCTATTTATGAACATCTCTTCAATTTACGTAATTGAATCTAAGCGAAGAACAAGTATCACTTTAATTATTTATTGCTCGTGCAAAATAATATAAATGCATATTTGTGTCAATTTATCCTTCAATAATTTATAAATTATTGTTTAATGCATTACACGCGAATTGTACACCTGTATCAAGTGTAAGTATGAAGAGTATAACACATTCGTTAAAACAAATCAAACCACTTGAAACGTATCATAATTCGTCGAGGAAATGGTTAATTGAAAAATATTCCGTTAAATATAAGAATGTACTTCAATATAATTTACACCGTCGAAGATTACACGCAACTGCTATTCAATTTGAGGTTAATAAAGAGAACAGTCAAAAACCTATATCCGATCTGAAGCAATTCAGAGTTCTGCCAAAAAGTGGACCGTCATTAAAAGATTTTATAACAAGTAATTCTCCAGTTTCTAATGATCCTATTATCGCACCAAGTATTCCTTATGCGAAAGACATCGAAGCTCGTAACCAAAAAGGTAAACAACTACATATAAGTATCTATAATTGTGTAATTATATCAGATAAAAGAACATACAGATCAGTATTTAATAATTTTTATAATTGTGATACTCAAAATATTTCAAAATAAAAGTATTAACTCTTAATTTTATTAATTGTAATTTCAGTATATTTTGAAGTTTATGGATGTCAAATGAATGTTAATGACACAGAGATAATTTGGTCTATTCTCAAAACACATGGTTATAAGAAAACAGAAGACATAGAAAGTGCTAATATAATCCTACTCGTTACATGTTCTATCAGAGATAACGCAGAACAGAAAGTATGGAACAAACTAGAGGGTTTAAATGGCATGAGAAGAAAAAGGAGGCCTACCATGAAGATTGGTTTATTAGGATGTATGGCAGAACGTTTGAAAACGAAAATCCTAGAAAAAGGACGACTAGTCGATGTTATAGCTGGTCCAGACAGTTACAAGGATTTACCACGACTTCTGTCTCAACCGGATAATGAAACTGCTGTTAATGTTGTTTTATCATTTGATGAAACATATGCAGACATTACACCAGTAAGACTGAATCCAGACTCCCGTAGTGCATTTGTGTAATGTCATAATCTCTTTTATATCAATTATAATATTATATGTGAAGAGCTCTCAAGAAAAGAGAAGTTAGAAAGTTTTAAATGTAAACTAGTTTATTTGAAAGTGGAGGGTTCAAAGTCTTGAAAACCCCAAGAACTATTAAAGTTAAAAAATCCATTTTTTATCCATAAGAAATTCCATTCTTAGGAGCCAGTCACATACATTGTATTATAATATTATCATAATTAATAATTGTCTAAAATTATTTTTCTAGTTCAATAATGCGAGGTTGCGATAATATGTGCACATACTGCATCGTACCATTTACACGAGGAAGAGAAAGGTCGCGACCAATTAGCAGTATAATAAAAGAGATTCAATCCTTGTCAGATGATGGTGTAAAGGAGGTAACATTACTTGGGCAGAATGTAAATAGTTACAGGGACATGTCGCAATCAGAATTTTATATGGTTAATGATGTAGAAACTCATCTTGCCAGAGGTTTCAAAACTGTATATAAAACTAAAAAAGGAGGTCGCAGGTTTAGCGATTTATTAGATGAAGTTTCTCGTATTAATCCAGAAATGAGGATAAGGTGATGAATGTTCCATTATTGTACTTTATATCAGAAATGAGCAAGACTCTTATTTAGATAAAGATATACTTTATATTCATTCGAATAAAATTTGTCCTATCTTTTTTTTGAAGTAGTCTGATTTAGTCTAAGGGGCAATTTTAATCAAAAGTCATTTTTAGATTCACATCACCGCATCCTAAAGACTTTCCCGATGAAGTCTTGCAATTGATAGCTGAGAGGTCGAACATTTGTAAGCAAATACATTTACCTGCTCAAAGTGGCAATTCTGTTGTTTTGGAAAGAATGAGGAGGGGATATACGAGAGAAGTATATTTAGATTTGGTGCACCATATACGTGATATTCTTCCAAATATAAGTCTCTCCAGCGATTTTATTGCTGGATTCTGTGGTGAGACTGAAGAACAATTTCAAGATACACTATCGTTGATACGATTAGTGAAATATAACAAAGCATACTTATTTTCGTATAGCATGCGGGAGGTACTTTTTATTTACATACATTTCTTCAATTAACATTCGACGATACGTGTAGATTATATTATATTCTATGGACGAAGTATTTATCACTACAAAATGTTGAATTACTTTTAGAAAACTACCGCACATCGTCGCTATGAGGACAATGTAGAACCAATTGTAAAACAAAAACGACTCGAACGAATGATTTCAACATGTACGCCCACTTCGGAGGAATTAAATAAATTACAGATTGGACAGGTGCAACTTGTACTTGTAGAGGGGGTAAAACAATTTTATAATCTATAATAATAAAACTATATTATAACAATAATTGTACCACGTGGTACAATAATTAAACAAATTTGAGAGAAAACCAATTTTGTCGCTAATAAAGATTAAGCAATTTTGATTTTAATTTTAGGCCAGCAGGCGATCAGACGAGTATCTTCAAGGAAGGAACGATGGTAACACGCGAGTAATAATTCCGACTATGGATATACCTACTGATAAATATTCAAATATGAAACAACCCATAAAAAATGGTGATTATGTTGCTGTAGAAATTCAAAATGCTAATGCGAACACCTTAACAGGTGTACCTTTGTATCATTCATCGATAACAGAATTTGCATTGTCATCTGTACTATAAGTAAAACAGGACACTAGTGGCCAAAATCTTCATTTGTTATTTAATTGCACCTATCGCTGCATAATACATTTAGTTTTTGAACGAGACTAAATTGAGATATTCACTAGTATAGTGATACTATTGTTAACAAAAACAGGCATGTACATACTATGATACATGTATTGTTATTATATAATAAATAGATATAATTGAACCTAATTTCGTGGTACATGGCAATCTATACGTAGGTACATAACACATTTCCTACTCTAATGATGATGCGAATGATGATTTTTTCAAAAGGATATACATGTACATAATGATAAAACAAAGAATTTACTACGTAACTAAGGTTTCATACGAATCAACTTCTGTAACAGGTATTTTGCCATACGTCTTTCAAAAATAGATAGAATTTTCAACCAGTGAAAAGAATTTTTTCTATGTTCTATGTGTGAGCAAGCGCTGAGTGGGGTAGGATTTAAACAGCGTTCGGCGGAAGCCATTTCAATTTCAACTGCTTTTCCGTCACGCAGTACTGTAGCTATAGAAAACGGTGCATGATCCTAATTCTTTTATACTTCTAATATTCTTTGGAGCGACTAAGGGGACGTTCATTAATTACGAAGGGTCCTGAGGAAGAAAAGGGGTTTAATAAATCGCTAAATGACCTTACTTCGTGGGAGGAGGGAGGTGGAAAGCCATTTTTCCGTAATATTTTACCACGAATTGAAATTCGCCTAGTGATTAATTTGTTTCCTTACTTTAAGATTGTTTCAAATCTAATCTTTTATTATAATACGCATTTTCCAAATACTCAATAATTATTTTAAAAAAAGTAAAAATCTTTATTGAGAAAAATGGCGAAAATCGTCCGTAAGTAATTAATAAATGGCCCCGAAGGGCGCCAGTCTTATATTTATATTAGATACTTTCCTGACGCTGAAGACGGTGCGCATGGCGCGAGTTTGAATCATCCCTGGCATCAATTCTGCTTATACATACATATTTCGAAAACGAAGCCTAGGATTGCAAAATGGTAGATAACTTTTTGATTTCTATTGCTACAAGGAATTCACATCTTCCAGTTTATCATAGTTTATCATAATTTTATCAACGTTTCACCATAAACTATTTACGAAACCAGAATACTTCGATCTTTAAACAAAAATTATTTTGTACATAATTATTGCCTAATAGTATGAACAGTTCGATTTGTACACGATATTTATGTTATCGTATAAACACCTGAGTAGGTATCATGAAATTATGCGAAGTCGATGTCTTTGGAAGTATCTCTTAAACGAGACTCGCGGTTCCGATGTTAATGACAACATTGTCGGCACCGCGTTCGTAGACCGTGAGATCGTGGTTCCTGGGTTGCTCCAACAGTGCAGCCAGTTGTTCACCGCTGGGAAATGTGTTCGGTGTGGTCGGCAGAATCACGTCGCATTCCAGTTGACCTAGAAGGTGACAATGTATTTATGTAAAGATGCTAGAATCAAAATGAAATTAATTTTCAATTAAAAACGGGATAATTTGCATTTAATTATATCTGGCACGTTTGACTTAATTTAATGCGAATAGAGAGGACTTGGAGAACGTATGAAAATTATAGACATAGCGAAGCAGCGATAGTAAATAGAAAATACTAAAATATAAATATTATATTGAAAATACGTATGATATTAAGGCATAGAAGTCCACGAGTAGAGGTATAAACGTAAAGGAATGTAGAAGAAATAAGCTTTAAGATATCATTGTCATCGTTTATATCAACGTTATTCGCCATTTCCAAATAGTCTTAACAAAGTAAATATACACAGATTGAGATATAGGTACACACAGTGGTGTAAAAAGTATAGAAATATAGGAGACAGTTTGCAAAGTAGTTATCTATTTAACGGTAAGAGGAACGTATTATCGACATAAATAACAGATATAATACTTTTACCTGATAACGAAGGAGAAGCACCTTTACTGGAACCGTACATGCGGGTACTATATCCTGAATCATTGTGCGCATCATGCAAAGGCGGTGTCGGGCTATAAACTGCATTACGGGATCTATATGGCATTCTGGCTATGCTGTCGTAATGCACGTGCTCCGATATCACTCCTTTTCCAGAGATCCCACCGCTAAGTGCTTCCGGTTGTTCGTCGTCATCCCCCTCGCTGCTCTCGCTGTCGTTACCTATGTTTAACACCCGACGAGTTCAAGAAAAAATTTTCAAAATTTATTACAACGACGAATGGAATTTTTCAGCAACTCGACGAGGATATTTCCATGCACATTATTTGATACTTTATACCGTGTGATTTTTAGAAATTAAACTAAGGAAAACATATACCTTTAATCAACTCTCTTTACGAGCGATAAACTGATTATTCAGCATCAATGTGTGATATTCTTTAAACTCGTCGTAAATCCTCTTCAGGAAACTTATTCTAATGAGGATAAAATTTCTTTTTTGCAGATTTTTGCTTCGAACACAACAATGACACAACGAACAAGACTTTCTGGTAAAATACCTTCGCCATGCCAACCGTTTCCAACGCCTCCCTGGGGCTGGACCCTCTGATTTTGGGAACACTGACTGTGCTCGGGGCTGGTTGGTTCGCTGCTTCCTGAACGAGGACCTCGCCAACCGTTGTGCATGCCAGGTACTTGCTGAAATCTCTTGATCATCTCGTGAACGCTCCGTCGTCCCGACGATCTCCACTCGTTCAAGTTGTCGTCGCTCTTCCGCGTCGCGTTGCCCTCCTCTTGGCAGGAGTTCATGCCATGCTCCCGAGACGAGTGATCCTGTCAATTCATGATCGCAACTTTTCTGAATTTCGAACAAAATTATTACGCAGACAATTTTATCGCGATACGGAAATCTGAACGCTGCAGCAATAACACGGTTCTTTAAACATTTTTTTCAAAGTCGTTCTGTTTTTTTTTTGTTTTTTTTTTTTTGAGTGTTTTCTGAAAGATCGGGTAAGGGATAGCTGAGAAAAGTGTACAAACAGCTGGCAGTGCCTCACTTAATTCAACAATTCTACTATTTCTTACGTCAGTTGCCAAACAAATTTTTATTTATCGCAAACGTGAACGGTACTCGTAACAGTAATTCAGTAATGTCTGAAAAGCAATTTCCTAGTCTTTGAGTCTATATCGTTAAACAGAGCGAGAATTTTGAGAAGTTGAAGACGTCAGCGATTTAATCTCCCACTCAAACGCGATTACCAGCGCGCCGAACCGCAGGGTGTCATTAAGCCTGGAGCTTAATCAAACACTTCCGGGTGACACTATGGGAGAGATGTGCAAACTTATAATTTAGATAAAAATTCTGAATAAAGAATGAAAGTTAAACTTTTTTCTCATTATTCATTAATTAAATAGCAGAACTTGATAATTTTACTCTAAAACGAGTGAAATTGTACTTCACGTTCAACGAGTAATAATTGATGAAGCATTTCAATGTCCAGTATTTTATAAACAATTTCAAAGCTATCAAAGCGATGACTTAAACCTCCCACAATTCCACGTGGACTACAAGCTATCACAATTCCATCAAAATCAATACAAGACATATCGTTCAATATAGAAAAAGATCTATTCAGCATGAAATGACTCTAATATTTGTTCAAATGAATAAACATTACGAGTTAAACGCTACACGTCGTTTTTATTCAACTACTATTCAAATATTATTCTTCCCAGAGTCTGTTCTATTATACCTAACAAAAAATACCACGAATTTCACACTTACGCGCTGCTGATGGACCTGCTGCCTGGACCCGATCGATGGCGAGGATGCAGCCCCGAGAGGCGAGCTGCGATCCTGCTTGATCACCCCGTCGAACGTCTCGTTCAGCCTGGCTGGAACGTCGAGCACCCTCAGCGTTGACCTCGAGACACCGGAACCCGACGGGAGATCCCTCATGGATTTGCTGAGCCTCGGTATGGCTGGTATATCGAGATCGTCCAGGCTGCCACGATGTATGGGCGTCTCGCCTGGGATCTCGAAGCTCCTGTCGTGCGGTCTGTCGTCCAGTAAATCCTCGAGCGACCTGGCACGGGCCGGTGGGAACGACTGATCGTTGGCGAACGACGCTTTGGCCGGTCGCTCGCTGTGTCTGCCTCTGCCACCGCGTGCTAAACGTTGCTGCAGGTGGGTGTGCCTCTCGTCGCACCTGGACCTCTCCGCCGCCACGCATCTGGTCAGCTCGGAGATCTGTCCCCTGGTCCTCCTCTCGAGATTGGCCACCTTCAGGTCCAGCCTCTCGTGGGCCTGATCTATGTGCGCTTTCAGCTCAGCTTTGTCCCTCTCGAGCTTGGCCTCCATGTGCCTGAAGAACGGCGCGCAATAGCAGGTGTAGCCCACTCCCACCGGTCCCTTTCTGATGTTCCCTGCCAGGTCTAGGTAGTACTGTTCGCCACGGCCCAACGGATCCGGTGGTAGGGAATCCAAACGGGGCTGGGGGAACGCTTCCGGATCGGGGTAGTAGTGGCACCCGTACGGCGACCACTGTCTACCCATCACGGCCTTCTCGAAGTGGACCTTGTTCTGCTTGCCGGACGATTTGTGCTTCTTTTTCTCCTTCTTCGTGCAACTGTCCCTACTGCCGCTGGTACCACTACCAGTCTTCTCTCGCTTCTTCTCGCTCTTGTTGCTCTTCCCATCGACCTTGTCCGCGGCGATGGCGTTGGCTGAGGCCGAGCCAGACGCTACGCCGTCCTCCTCGCGGCTCTTGCTTCGCGTTCTGCTCTTGCTTCGCGCTTTACTGATTATCTCGAGTATCTCCGTCAGGTTCTTGCGCCTGGCTATGTCCTTCGCGGTCTCTCCTTGTTTGTTACGTAGGCTACGGTCGCAGCCAGCCTCCAGCAGGATCCTCGTCAGCTTTCGACGGCCCATCGCCGCGGCGATGTGCAACGCCGTGTCGCCGTTCTGCGTTTAGAGACGTTCGTTAAACAGGATCTTCGCGTTTCGGTTGGGGATTTGTGGTTTCGTACGCGCAAATTGCCAGACCATTTGTGGTCGTAGTTGGACGAACGGTGAGTGGCATTGGACGTAAGTTCTGACTTACTTTTTGTTGCGTATGTGGGAGGACGTTGA